GATTTTCAAGTTGATAATCGATTATCCATCGTCTTCTACCTCGAGCCAACTTGCGGAAATGTCACTTTTACTCACCAAACTTCAATTAAAGTATATAAAAATGTTCTCCAAGGTTCATGGATCATTTTAGCATCATTAATTCATAATTTTAACATCAATTTCATGGTTTATGATTCTTAGTTCTTCAAGCATGTCAAACACAAAACTCAACCAAATGACCATTTATGAACGTAGAAACGACCTATATGAACATTCTAGTCATTAGATATATCTAGGGGCTTACCTCGAAGCTTAATGGAGGTTTTGGAAATTTTCCGGCGAAACTTCCGGTGAGTATTTCTCCCAACTCCAGCGACTTCACACCAAATTGACAGCACCACAACACTCCTCACACTTTCATGAACATTTAGGAAGAAGAATGAAGAAGAATGGTGAAGAAATAAGAAGGTTGGGTTTTCTTATATAATGAGAAAGAGAGAAGAAGAAGGTGACTCTGCGATCGGCGTAGTGGGGAAGGAGGCGCCGTCTAAACAGTTCCCTGATTGGGACCTATTTTGGTTCCAGTCGGGGTACACTTTTTGGTCCAACTTTCTCCAAATTGAAATCCGTTTGCACCGTTGCGATCAGACAGTCGAGCTCTATCCAACGATATACTTTTCATAATTATTTGTAATACTTTTTCCGACATCATATTTTTGGGTGTTTGACTTTAACAGAGTCAAAATTGGTTTAATTGACCTTTCTCAAAAAAGGTTCTCTCATTTAATTCATATCAATTATTCTCATGATTTATTTCAATAAATCACTTTAAGTAAATTAAAGTGAATTCTTTTTAAAACAAGAGACAATTCAATAGATAGAACATACTTCTTACCATTAAAATTAAATTAAAAACAAGGTACAATTAAATAGATAAAACATACCTCACTTAAATCTATTTCTTAAGCTAGTGAATGTACAAATAGTCCAGAATCATGTGTTGAGGGGGACTTCCGTTTAAAAAACTTCTCCATTATCTAAAAATATAAATGAAATAAATTGTTTTACTAAATCTATGTACAAAAATTAGAACAAATTATTCAAGTATATCAATGGAGAATTAATATCTTTTTAGAGACTAGAGTCATCAATTCATATGTTTTGGGATAATTACAAATTTTAACCAATAATAATCAACATAATAAACAATTTCATTTTATAGAAAATTGAAAAATAAAAACAAATTATCCAAAAAGTTTCACACATTACACATAAAAAGGAAAAAATTATTCTAGATCATAAAAAGTTTCACACATTACACATAAAAAAGAAAAAAGTTTCACACATCACACATTATTTAGATCATAATTTAAAAAGGAAAAAAATTATTTGGAAATACCTGGATGCTTGTGCGATTCTACGGTTGTGTGATACTCGATCGAAGGATTCGAAGATGTGGCGGACTGGCGGCGACGCGGCAGACGCGCGACGGCGGTGCAGCGGGTGCTCCTGTTCGGATTCCACTTCCAATGTTCGGCACTTTGGCGGTTCAATTGCTCCTGCTTCTCGGTTTCCGCAAACGCTAAGGAGAAAGTACGAGTAGTAAATTTGGAAATAATTGTAAGGGAAGTATATTTTATTTTTGGGAATTTGGACAATTGGACCACTTTTGGAATTGGGTCTTTAGACTTTAGGTAATTAATTGGTTTGGGTTAAATAACGGACAGAGGGCAGATTTATTTTTTATTGGGGGCAATTAGGGGTGGACACGGTACGGTTCCGGGACGGTTCCGGTTCCGGTACCGCCACCCCTTGGTATCGGTACCGGTACCGGATCGGCCGGTACCGGTTCCGGTTCCGGTACCGGCGGTTCCGGTTCCAGTTCCGGTACCGTTTCGGCTACCCATAATTTCTTTTTTTTTTGCTTTTTTATTAAAATTTTAAAGTGTAGAATTGCAAATGTGTAATTGTTAAAAAAAGGATGAAATAAAAATCTCTAAAAATGAAATTAATAAAGGAAAGAATGAAATAAAAAAAATAAAAAAAAATTAATTACGGTACCGGAACCGGTACCGAAAAATGGGCACTAGAACCGGTACGGAGTGGGCGGTACCGGTACCGGTTCCCGGAAGTGGACCGTCCCGGCCGAGGTACCGGTACCGGTACCGGCGGTACCGTTTCTGGTCACGGCACCCCTAGGGGCAATTATATATAAAATTTAAAAATATGGATATATTAAAAAAATTGACTAGGGGCAGCTGCCCCCATATTCCAAAGGGTAGATCCGCCTCTGCGAGGGAGTACTTTGTATGTTCTAATTTAATATGATCTAATTCAATTGTATAGTTACATTTAATGTTGATTCTGATCTTGTTTGATTCCAATAAAAATAAGCAATAACAAATAAAAACTTATTGTGTCCGTAGTCAAACAACGCATTGAGTATTAAGTTATTTACATCAAACTTTGATTATGTAAAATTGAGATTGTGTAAAACTCAAACATTAGTTTAAATCTACATATATGGACTTAAATAGTTTTAATGTACTTTATTAGCATGATTAGTTTATATTCAATTCTAAAAACCCATATATTAATTTAATATCAATAATTCATTACCAAGTCGGCTAAAATAAATAATAACTTTACGATTTGCCAGTATGTTTCTTTGATAGAATCATTTTCTATTTGAAACATTTTAATAGACCATGATAAATAAACAATTTCCAAAACAACAAAACGACGCAAATAAATAAAAACAAAGGGTGAACTCCAATCCACTATCTGAGCTACATACATCATCCAGTTAAGACGTGAACACAATTAATTGCCTAAAATAGAATTAATTGCCTAAAATAGATTGAAACATCGATAATCAAACTGGGAATCAGGAAAAAAGAGATCCGAGAATTTGCTTAACAAAAGCCATTTAGAGAAGCTTTCGCATCTAGACCAATGATGTCCAAATTTGGCTATTTCCTATGTTAGAAATCAGAAACCATGTCAATGTTGTTCAAAACAAAGAAACTACACCAATAATTCTCTACAAAAGTAAAGAAATATACTCTCTTTTTTTGATAAATTACCAAATGACACATCAAAACATTCAAAGAGAGAAGATAAGATTTAAACATGTGAATAGGCGCGATGTGGAACACACAAGCAACAAAAAAATGAAGAACAAAGACTGATTTACAGATGTGAATAGTTGTGGCGATGTGAAAAATGGTTCCAGTGTTTCAGAACTTGCCAATTATCAAATGGATCTTAACCCTATTGGAATGAAAAACCTTGCAGTAAGGACTGAGCTGCACCAACAGACAATGGCAGAAAAATATACCTGAAAATTTTGAAAAGAAAGAATATGAGGCACATGAATATTCGCCCGGCTTATCACCTGAATTTTCAACTAGTTGGAGTGAAAAGCAGCCTAGAGCCAAATCATTCGTCTGAACTCTGAACTGCACCAACAAGTCAAGCAACAACAACAACAACAACAACCCAGTTGAATCCCACTACAGTAGGGTCTGGGGAGGGTGTGTGTACGCAGACCTTGCCCCTACTCGGAAGTAGGGAGGCTGTTTCCAAGATAATTTCACCTCCACTTCTCAATTAAAGCCCTCCATATTCCATATATACGGCTCTGTATTTATAGTCAGGATTCGGCGTTCAGTCCTGCACGAAGAAAAGACGAGGATTAAGGTGTTGAGGGTTAGCTAAGGATGATAAAAAAAACCAAAGAATCAAGATCATGTTTGTAATACTCTATACTACCTCCGTCCCGGAGTATTTGTCCAGTTTTGATTTTTGAAAACGTTTTACATAATAAATCTAATAAGACTATTTTTAAATCCATATCTAATATCATTTTTATCTAATGGAGGGTCAATGCTTACCTATTTTGACCGAAAAAAATAAAAGACAAATATTTCAAGACGGAGGAAGCTGGGTCTTTGTTAGTGACATTTGATCAATAATCCATGCAAATAGTCAGCTGGGTCTAACAATGAATGCCCAACATTGTACCTTCAGACACAAGAAAATAACACTTGCTAGGAAATAAAATTTTAGACAAATAAACCTGAATTTATTCATAGTGGTACGTGTTGCTTATCCTGAATGAGTTATAAGAGAATTACATTTAAACCTGAATTTTAGACAAATAAAATTTTAGACAAATAAACCTGTATTACGTTTACATGTTTGAATAGAACTATGGAAATTCTTAGGCAAGTCAGGAGATGATCTAGATCAACCTAATCTATATTCTTCAGCAATAAATATAAAATAAGGCCGAGGACCTTGTACTTGTCATCGAATCTCCTGCCTGGATCTCACACATTGTTAAACAAAAGGCATTCAAAGAAGCTTTGGCATGTGGACAATTAAAATAGAGGACGTGGTGGGATTTTCAAACATTTTATATGAAAAGCATCAGATTACTGGAAAACAGTCTATGTCTTCGCTGTAGTTCACATCTTCTTTGGGCATAAAATCTGACAAGGTTTCCATGTATTTTTAATAAATCTACTACTAGCATCGACATCTAATGTTTGAAACTCAAAATCAGATCATTTTCAATAACTCCACTCCCAGCATCTCCTTCCTGGACATGGTTTGATAGGAAAGGCAGCATCTCCTTGTATTTTTAATAAAATATTCTTGTCACCACTTGTTTGTAGAACTTTTTATGTAGTTTTTAAATATGTAAGATTTTAAATATGTAAAATAATTCAATCAGGATTTTGACGGTCGTGGTGTTTAGCACAACAGAACTTACTGATATATAAGCAATGGACGCCTTGAAATCAAACCAATCCATATCATTTGACCATCACGTCAACTCCATATTCCTTATATACGTCTCTGTTTTTTATAGTCAGGATTCTGCGTTCAGATTGTCCTGCATGAAGAAAGACGAGGATTCAGGAGCTGAGGGTTAGCTAAGGATGGGAAAGAACCAAAGAATCAGGATTATGTTTGTAATACTCTATATTTGATCAATAGAGACTACAAATGAAAAAAACCAGCAATTATTATCAACAATTTATGAAATGATGTTATCTCAACCTCTAAGCTGTCATTCACGAATCCCGATTAACACCTAAGCCAAGCACAAACTTTGCCCCAACGGCAACTCATTCACAACAGGTAGGTCTATCTGTATTTAGCAATTGAATTTGGAAAAACAACATTGAGAAGTTTTTTTATATCTACAAAAGATATATATGCAAAAAAAACTTCAAATACGTTCTGCTTAAGCCTCCTTTAGCTGAATACAAATTATCCCACAACGAACCACTACATTTTTTTCTTCATAAGATTTATTTGAAGAATGATAAAGTGCAGTTTAATTGGCTTTCCCCTCCTCCTTTATCCGGGCTAGGGACCGGCAGCTGTCACAGGCGGAGTTAAAAAGCATAATTAAACTACACAAATATTCAAAATAAAAAATGCCATACAGAGAGAAAACACAAACCAAAACCATAAGAAAAAAGTTTTTCTGCACATCATAGTCATTTCTGAACATTAATACACAATAAAATTGGATTACAAAGATAGATCAAATAAAATAATAAAATAAAGAATGAAAAAATATTAAATAAAAAACCCAAATGAAGCAGCATGCAAATATACAGAACGGCTATCACAACTATGAATCATGTCTACAAAAAGCTGAAGCTTGTGAGTTCAAGAATCTGATAACATTAAACTGCACTAGATGAGTCCACAATATTGCAGGTCATCTCAATCTCTTGCCGCATATACAATTCAACAATGCCTAATGACTATGCAATGATATGAAATAGTGCTCTTGGATAAAAAAAATAGAATTTCTGGCAACCAAGTTCTGAAGAACCAAACAGAACCTGAATTTGATCCAAACTCCAAAGCCGTTCATGTTGCATTCTCCTGACTGAACAACCCATCCCTTGTGAGCTACAAGCTTAGAAGGTTCACAGAACACAACATTGTTGTTATACTTTAATCTTTTAGAAAGCTCAAACTGAAAACCCACTTTGGCAACATGTAAATCGTCTTGATCACAAAACCCTAATATGTCCAAGCAGAGAGCATTTAAGGATGAATTCAATAACTCTGTCATGAAAAAAAACTCTGAAATCTGAACCACATAAGCCAACATAGCCAATAACTTCTATTCAAAATCTAGTAAAAATTATTATTCCAAACCTCAAGCCCTTTGTTAGTGATATATGTGTATTGTTCAACAAAATCCATTTAACGAAGCTTTGGCATCTGGACAATTACAATGGCAAGACATGATGGGATTTTCAAATGTTCTCATGAAGAGCATTAGATTACTACTATCCATGCGTACAGAGTGATAACACTAATTTGTGATTCCCTTCTACCTCGAAAGTGAAGCTCAACCCCCTTGCTTCAGTTACTGACAATAAAGCTGTCTCTATGTCTTCAGGTTATTGAAGGTCGTGGTATTTATAGACTACAAGAGGTGGTCAAGTAGAAGCTAACTCACCAAGAATTGTACATACTTCTTGTCAAATCCATTTCCTCTCACAATATAAACACAGCGCAGAACTTCATGTTATAAGCAATGGACACCTTGATATCAAACCAAGCCATCTATTCGATCACCCAAGTTCACAAAATTGTTGACATGACTGACATCAAATCGAATAACAGGATAAATAACACATCAGGCAGAGGTTGCTCAGCAAGATCAATCCAAAGTATTGCAAGCAAAGTCAAACAAATGTTCTATTACTCCTCAGAACCCTAAACATATAAGGACTATGAGAGTCAGTCAAAATGAAACTAACCATAGATATTCATTTATGATATGTTCGGCTGAAATTCAATATATCATACTCCCTCGGTGCTAGAATAAGGTCTGGATTCACCTGTTTCCTATGTAAAAAATCAGTACGAACTTCAAATAAATATATATTTAAAAATTTCATCAATAGTTCTCTACAAAAGTAAAGAAAAGAGAAAGAAGAGGTGACTTACTTAACTGTATAATAATTTATGTTATTTTGACAAATGACCAATGAAAACATTTAAGGAGAGAAGATACAATTTAAACATGTGAATACTGATGTGGAGCACACAAGAAATATACAACGAATAACAAAATTCTTCATCTTATTTTATCAACAAATTAATTGGTACCGGTTTTCCAAACTGGACGATTATCAATAGGATCATAAATCTGTTGAAATAAAAAACCTTGCTGTAAGGACTCGGCTGCAACAACAAACCAAGGCAGAAACATGGATCAAGCTGATCTGTGTTCATCAGCAAGAAATATAAAATCTAGATGAGACTGAGGTCCTTGTACTTTTCATCGAATCACCGGTTTGAACTTACATCAACAAATCTAGAGCTACAGGCTCCACTGTTCCAACAAAATTTCATTCCAGGAAACCAAAATCTTCGGTCTGATATATTTTTTAACAAAAGCCATTTAGAGAAGCATTAGCATCTGGACAATTACAACAGCGAGATGTGGTCGGATTTTCAAACAAAAGAGCATTCGATAACTACTATTCCGTTAACACAGAGAGACCAGTAGTTCATGATTTGCTTCTGCCTCCATAACCTCCATATGCACGTTGATCTTCATGTTACTTTCTCAACAGTGAAGCTTAATCCCCCTAGCTTATATTGCTGACAAAAAAGACGGTCTATGTTTTTGCTGCAGTTCACCTGTTCTTTGGGCATAAAAGTTGACAAAAGCGTTTTCAATAAATCTATTTTCAGCATCACATCAAATGTTGGTGACTCATAATCAGAGCATTTCCACTGCCTACACTTCCAGCATCTCCTCCCTTGACTACTGAAGTCTCACAATCAAAGTAAAATCTATGACCTGCACCACTTCTACAAGCCAACATCGCCGAGGTTTGGTAAGGAACTTATCAACAACCCATGTTAAATGATTTTATCAGGATTATGACAGTTGCGGTATTTATAAGGGGTGGTCATGTAGACATGATCTCTGCACAGAATTTCCTGATATATTGGTAATGGAACCTTGAAATCAAATCAAACCATCTCATTCTACCACCCAACTTCACAAAATTGTTGACATGACTGACATAAAGTTGAAACAACTTGAACAGCCAGATAAATCCAAAATATTACAAGCAAAATCAAACAAATGATCAGTTCTGCATTTATTACTCATCAAGACCTAATCACATATGATCCAAGAATCTCGTCGAGAAAACATGTCCTATACTAATCGTTATGGGATTTATAGATTATGAGTCAGACAAGATGAAAGTAACCATAGATGTTCATATATGATATAGCTGTCTCCAATGTAAAGATGAAACTATCCATTATATCATACTCCCTCCATTATAACCAATGAAATCTTTGAACAAGTGAATGATGTGAACACACGCAGTAAATAATGAAGAAAACAATTCTTCAGCGTAATTTGTCACAACAAATTAGTTGGAACCGGTTTTCAGAACTGGACAATTATCAACTGGATTTTAAATATGTTGAAATGAAAAAGTGCAGTAAGGACTCACGTGCACCAATAAACGAAGGCAGAAAAATAGATCGACCGGATCAATATTCATCAGCAAGAAATATAAAGTCCAGATGAGACCGAGACTTCGTAGTTTCCGAGAACCTCGTACTTGACATCAAATCACGTTTCTGAGCCTACATCTACCGATATTTTGTTCAACAAAATCCATTTAGAGAAGCTTTGGCATCTAGACAAACCCACACAATCTTACTACTGTTCTTTTTTTATGGAGTGAGAAAACTAACTCATGATTACCTTCTACCTTGTTGGTCAGAGGGTAAGTCTTGGAAAGAAAGCTCATAACCTCCATATGCCTGTTGTTCCGGAGTATCATTCTCAACAGTGAAGCTAATCCCCCTTGGCCCTTGCTTACGATGCTGACAAAAAAAAATCATCTCTATGTCTTTGCTGTAGTTCACCCATTCTTTGGGCATAAAATTTGACAAGTTTCCAGTGCAGATTAAAAAAATCAACTTCCCGCATCATATTTACTGTTTGAGGCTCAAAATATAAGCATTTTCAATAAGTTCACATCCAGCATCTACAACCTTGACTACACAATCTCACAATGGTAGTCTAATATATGATCTGCACCACTTCTACAAGTCATCAAGGCGGAGGATTGATAAGAAAATTAGAAACTGATCGGGACTACAAAATTCTATCACGATTACAATGGTCATGGTCATAGATTATAAGAAATGGTCAAGAAGAAGCAAACACATCAGATATTGTGCAAAGTTTTTGTCAAATCCATTTCTACTAACACAATAATAAGTGCGGGAATTCCTGAAATATAAGCAATGGGTGTCTTCACATCAAACAAAGCCATCTTATACAACCACCCAAATTCACAAAATTTTTTCCATGAATGAAAGCAAGTCAAGAACAGGATAAGCAACACACCAATCTGCTCCCCAGATGAACCCAAAGTATTGCAAGCGAAGTCAAACTATCAAACCAATGATTTGTCACATATCTATTACTCAACAGAACCTAGGGGGTTCCAAAATAATGTTCAAGATAACATAATCTATACATATTCTATCTTGATTATGTATCGTTGAGGCATTTACAGATAATGAGAGTCAATCAAGATGAAACTAACCCTAGATTATTCATATATGTAATGGTTCTAGTAAAATTCATTATATCATACTCCCTTCATACAAGAACAATGTCCAGATTTGGCTATTTGCGATGTAAAAAACTTAAAAATCAGAAACTGTGTCAAGCATTGGCAAGCATTGATCAAGGAAGACCTTCGCGTGAACAATCTCACAGCAAATATGATACACGATAGGGCGCAGTGACTTCGTTTGATCCTTGTAGCCAACCCCACCTAGTGGGATAAGGCTTTGTTGTTGTTGTAGTAAGGAAAAGAAACAGAAAAAAGCTAACTAGACTTATTTTTGTTACTATATGAAATGACAAATGAAAACATTCAAGGAAAGAAGATAAGATTTAAACATGTGAATCGTGCTAATGTGAAGACACGAGCGAAAATTAATGAAGAACAGAATTCTTCATCTTAATTTGTAATAAAAAACATTGCAGTAAGGACTCGGCTACACCAACAAACCAAGGCAGAAAAATAGATCAACCTGATCTATATTCATCAGCAAGAAATAAACAATCCAGGTGCGACCGGTGACCATGTACTTAACATCGAACACAGATCAGCTTGACCCATGTTCATCCATCAAAGGTTTTGCATGAAGAGCATTAGATTGCTACTATTCTGTTCGTATGGCATGAGCGCACTAACTCATGATTGCCTTCTACCTTGCTGGTCAAAGGGGGTGTCTTAGAAAGAGAGCTCCACTTCTACAAGTCATCAGAGCTAAGGTTTGATATGAAAATTAACTGATCCAATGTTAAATATAAAAAATTATAGCGGCAGTTACCTTAAACTATCTAATTAAATAGTGCTCTTTAGATTTTAAGATATAATTTAGAATATTAATACTGTTAGAACGATGAATGCACATGCTTCACTGTAGATAACTAAGGAACTCGTACCAAATTATTGCAGGTGAGAGTGAATCATCCGCCTACATCAGATCAACAACAGGGTAGAGATTTTCAACAATAGACCAAGATAAATAAACTATTTCCAAAACAACGAACTGAGCTTAGACGTGATGAACAGAGAAATAAAAACAAAGGGTGAACTCCAATCCACTATCTGAGCTACATCATCCAGTTAAGACGTGAACACAATTAATTGCCGAAAATAGATACTCCAACAACCGATCAATCGCCATAAAGACTGAAACATCAATAATCAAACTGGAAATCAGAAAAAAATCTTGGAACCGAGAATTTGCTTAACAAAAGCCATTTAGAGAAGCTTTGGCATCTAGACAATCACAGTAGCTAGATGTGGCGAGATTTTCAAATGTTTTGCATGAAGAACATTAAATTCCTACAATTCTTTTAATACCATCTACCTTGTTGGTCAGAAGGAATGTCTTGGGAAATTACAACAGCTAGAAGTGGGATTTTCAAACATTTTGCAGGAAGTGCATTAGATAACTATTATTCTGTTCGTACGGAAGGACCACTAGTTCATGACTACCTTCTACCGCGCTGGTCAAAGAGGGTGTCTCAGAAAGAGAGTTCCATAACCTCCATATGCATGTTGATCTGCATGTTGCTTTCTCAACACTGAAGCTTGTCCCCCTTGCTTATATTATTGACAAAAAAGACGGTCTATGTTTTCGTTGTAGTTCACCTACCTGTTCTTCGTGCATAAAACTTGACAAATTTTCTGTGTTTTCAATAAATCTACTTCCAGCATCACATATAATGTTTGTGACTCAATCAGAGCATTTCCAATACTTACACTTCCAACATCACCTTCCTTGACTATTGAAATCTCACAATCGAAGTCAAATCGATGATCTGCATGCACCATTCCTATAAGTCATTAGAGCCTAGGTTTGATTGGAAACTTAGCAACAGACCATGCTAAATAATTTTATCAGGATTGTTATGGTCGTGGTCTTTTTAAGGGGTGGCCAAGTAGGCATAATCTCTGCACAGAACATCCTGATATATTACCAATGGAGAGCTTTGAAATCAAAATAAACCCATATGATTCAACCATCTGAATTCACAAAATTGTTGAAAAGTCTGATATCACGTCGGACCAACTTGCACAGCTTGATGAATCCAAAATATTGCAAGCAAAATCAAACAAATGATCATTTTCGCGTCTATTATTCATCAATACCTAATCATATATTACCCAAGAATCTGATCGAGAAAACATGTTCTATACTGATAACATACTCTATAACCTATTTTATCCTGATTACAAATCGTTATGGTATTTATAGATTATGAGAGTCAGACAAGATGAAAATGTGAAGATGAAACTATCCATTAAATCATTCTCCCTCCGTACAGAATAAGGTCCAGATTTGACTGTTGCCTATGTAAGCAATTTAAAAATTAGAACAAAATTAAATGATAAAATTTTTACAGTTTTCTACAAAAGAGAAAAAAGTGGCAAGTAGACTATATTTTTTTATTTTAAACAATGACTACTGAAAACTTCTAACGTAAGAATATACGATTTGAACATGTAAATGGTGAGAACACATACAGTACACAATGAAGTAATAAATTATTCAGCTTATTTTGTCATAACAAATTAGTTGGAATCGGTTTTCAAAACTGGACGATGATCAACTGGATCATAAATATGTTGAAATGAAAAATTGCAGTAAGGATTCACCTGCACCATTAAACGAGTGGGGAAAAATAGATCTACCTGATCAATATTCATCAGCAAGATTTATAAAATCCACATGAGACTGAGGACCTTGTACTTGTCGAGAACCTTGAATCTGATATTTTTTTTAACAAAAAGCCATTTAGAGAAGCTTTGGCATCTAGATAATTTCAATAGCTAGATGTGATGAGACTTTCAAACGTTTTGTATGAAGAGCATCAGATTACTCCTACCCTGTCCGTAAGGGGTGAGTACACTAATTCGTGATTACCTTCTACCTCACTGGTCAAAGAGATGTCTTGGAAAAAAAGCCCCATAACCTCCATACACGATTGATCTAGATGTATCTGTCTTGCAAAATGAAGCATATCCCCCTTGCTACTGTTGCTGACAAAACAGACACCTCTATGTCTTTGCTGTAGTTCACCTCTATGTCTTTGCTGTAGTTCACATCGAATGTTTAAATCTCAAAATCAGAGCATTTCAATAACTCCCCTTCCAGCATCTCCTTCCTAGATTAGGTTTGATAGGAAACATAACGACTGATCAGAGCCTAGGTTTAATGGGAAACATTTGTAGTTCACCTGTTCTTTTGGCATAGACAAGGTTTCCATGCATTTTTAATAAATCTACTTCTAGCATCACATCGAAAGCTTAACTCTCAAAATCAGAGTATTTTCAATAACTCCACTTTCAGCATCTCCTTCCTTGACTAGTTTTGATAGGAAACATAGCGACTGATCAGAATTATAGATCAGCATGTTCTATATTCATCAAGATCAATTAAATCCAGATGTGACTGGGGATCTTGTACTTCTAATCAAATCATTTGCATACCTAATACCATACCCACAAAATTTCTTACCATGAAAAAAAACAATTCTTCGATCTGATATACGTAGTATTGTTCAACAAAAGCAATTTAGAGAAGCTTTGGCATCTGCACAATTACAATGGCTAGACATAAGTTTTTCAAATGTTTTCATGAAAGAGCATTAGGTTATTACTGATTTGTGATTAGCTTCTACCCTGACAAAAAAGCCTTCTCTAAGTCTTAATTTGCTGTAATTAACAGTGCATTGGGCATAAAATTTGACAAGGTTTCCGTGCATTTTCAATACATCTACTTCGAGCATCACATGTAAAGTTTGAGACAAAATCAAAACATTTTTAGTAACTCCACTTCCACATTGACTTTTACGATCTTGCAACCGAAGTCAAATCTATGATCTGCATGCACCGCTTCTATAAGTCATCTGAAATCAAAATAAGCCATCTGATTTGACCATTCGATTCACAAAATTGTTGACATGTCTGATATCAAGTCGGACCAACTTGCACAGCCTGATAAATCCACAATATTGCAAGCAAAATCAAACAAATGATCATTTTCACATCTATTACTCATCAAAAACAAACCAAGGCAGAAAAAGAGATCATTCTGATCTATATTCATCAACAAGAAATATTAAATCCAGATGACACTGAGGACCTTTGTTTTACCGTTCCAACAAAATGTTGTTTAACAAAAGCCATTTAGAGAAGCTTTACCATCTGGGCAATTACAATAGCTAGAGGTGGTGGGATTTTCAAACATTTTGCAGGAAGTGCATTAGGGAGGGACCACTAGTTCATGTTTACCTTCTAACTCGCTGGTCAAAGAGGGCGTCTCAAAAAGAGAGCTCCATAACCTCCATATGCATGTTGATCCGCATGTTACTTTCTCAACACTGAAGCTAGTCCCCCTTCCTTCTATTGTTGACAAAAAAGACGGTCTATGTTTTCGTTGTGGTTCACCTGTTCGTAGCGCATAAAACTTGACAAATTTTCTGTGTTTTCAATAAATCTACTTCCAGCATCACATGTAATGTTTGTGACTCAATCAGAACATTTCCAATACCTACACTTCCAGCATCTCCTTCCTTGACTATTGAAATCTCGCAATCAAAGTCAAATCTATGAACTGCATGCACCACTTCTATAAGTCATCAGAGCCTAGGTTTGATAGGAAACATAGCAACAGATCATGTTAAATAACTTTATCAGGATTATTATGGTAGTTGTATTTTTATTGGGTGCCAAGTAGACATAATCTCCACATAGAACTTCCTGATATATTAGCAATGGAGACCTTGAAATCAAAACAAGCCGAATGACTGACATGAAGTCGGACCACCCAAATTCACAAAATTGTTGACATGACTGACATGAAGTCGGACGAACTTGCGGAGCCAAATGAATCGAAAATATTGCAAGCAAAATCAAACAGATGATCAGCTCAACATCTATTATTCATCAGAACCTAATCATATATGACCCAAGAATCTGGTCGAGAAAACATGTTCTATACTGACTCCATAGATGTATATATGTGATGCGACTGTCTCCGATGTAAAGAGGAAACTATCCATTATATGATACTTCCTCCGTACAGAATAAGGTCCAGAATTAGCTTTTTCTGATGTAAAAATTTAAAAACTGAAATAAATTAAAAAATAAAAATTACATATTAGTATTTACGGAATAAAAACTAAATGAATAGTTTTCTACAAAAGGAGAAAGGGAAGGTAACTAGGCTATATTATTATATTTTAAAAATTGACCAATGAAATCTTTTAAGGTAAGACTCACGATTTGAACATGTGAATGATGTTAAGGACTCGCCTGCACCAATACACGAAGGCAGAAAAATAGATCTACCTGATCAATATTCATCAGCAAGAAATATAAGATCCAGATGGACCTTGTACTTGTCAAGAACCTTGTACTTGACATCGAATCACGTGTGTAAGCCTACATCTACAAATAGAGAGCTAAAAGTTCCCGCAACCAAACAACACATCCACATAATCTTACCAGGGAAAAAATCTTGGTTCCGGTATTTTGTTTAACAAAAGCCATCGAGAGAAGCTTTGGCGTCTAGACCATTACAGTAGCTAGATGTGGTGAGATTTTCAAGTGTTTTGAATGAAGAAAATAAGACTACTATTCTCTTTGTACGGACTGCGGAGTGAGAACACTAACTCAATATTACCTTCTACCTTGTGGATCAGACGGGATATCTTGGAAAGAGAGCTCCATAACCTCCATATGCATGTTGATCTGTGCCACTTCTACAAGTCAATAAGGCGGAGGCTTGATTGGAAAATTAGCATCTGATCAGGACTACAAAATTCTATCACAATTATAAGGGTCATGGTATTTATAGATTATGAGAGGTGGTCAAGAAGAAGCGAACACATCTGATATTGTGCATACTTTATGTCGAATCCATTTCTACTATCGCCATAATCAGTGCAGAACTTCCTGAATTATTAGCAATAGGCGTCTTGACATCAAACCAAGCCATCAAGTCCAATAACATGATAAAAAACACTAAATGAATTACGGAGTAGTATTTAAATACTAAATGAATAGTTTTCTACAAAAGGAGAAAAGGAAGGTAACTAGACTATATTATTTTATTTTAAAAATTGACCAATGAAATCTTTTAAGGTAGTAAAGCTCACGATTTGAACATGTGAATGATGTTAAGGAATCACCTGCACCAATATACGAAGGCAGAAAAATAGATCTACCTGTTCTTCAGCAAGAAATATAAAATCCAGAATGGACCTTGTACTTGTCGAGAACCTTGTACTTGACATCGAATCACCTGTGTGAGCCTACATCTACAAACAGAGAGCTACAAGTTCCCGCAACCAAACAACACATCCACACAATCTTACCAGGGAAAAAATCTTGGTTCCAGTATTTTGTTTAACAAAAGCCATCGAGAGAAGCTTTGGCGTCTAGACCATTACAGTAGCTAGATGTGGTGAGATTTTCAAATGTTTTGAATGAAGAAAATAAGACTACTATTCTCTTTGTACGGACTGCGGAGTGAGAACACTAACTCAATATTACCTTCTACCTTGTGGGTCAGACGGGATATCTTGGAAAGAGAGCTCCATAACCTCCATATGCATGTTGATCTGTGCCACTTCGACAAGTCAATAAGGAGGAGGGTTGATTCGAAAATTAGCATCTGATCAGGACTAAAAAATTCTATCACGATTATAAGGGTCGTGGTATTTATAGATTATGAGAGGTGGTCAAGACGAAGCGAACACATCTGATATTGTGCATAGTTTTTGTCGAATCCATTTCTAATATCGCCATAATCAGTGCAGAACTTCCTGAATTATTAGCAATAGGCGTCTTGACATCAAACCAAGCCATCTTATACAACCACCCTAATTCACAAAATTCTTGCCATGAATGACATTAAGTCCAATAACAGGATAAAAAACACATCAACCTGCTAACCCAGATGAATCCAAAGTATTGCAAGCAAAGTCAAACTGTCAAACCAATGATCTGTCCCACATCTATTACTCATCAGAACCTAGGCATATATGATCCAAGATAAAATTAAATAGTGCCCTTCAGATTTTAAAATATAAATTGGAATATCTACATTGTTAGAACGATGAATGTCCAATGCTTCACTGTAAATAACTAAAGAACTGTAAATAACCAAATTGTTGCAGGTGAGCGTGTATCATCCGACCAGCATCAGACCAACAGCAGGGTAGAGATCTTCAACAGCGGACAAAGATAAATAAACAATTTCCGAAAGTACAAACCGAGCATAGATGTGATGGACCAGATAAATAAAAAACGAAGGGTGAACTCCAATCCACTATCCGATCTACATCATCTAGATAAGATGTGAACACAAATAATTGCCGAAAATAGATACAACAACAACCAATCAATCACCATAAAGATCGAAACTTCAACAATCAAACTGGCAATCAAACATGTCCATCTTGTTCAACCACTCCTATCCCACACATCTTTCTCGTGACATGAAATCATAAGGACATCATAGAATCAAGAGAAGAAAACACATCTAGTCAAGGCAGGGAAACAATTAACAGTAGGGATCAGATAAAGGCAAAACATCAATTAAATCAATTGCCCGAGAATAGAAACAGAATTTAAACCAGAACATCGTGAAAACAACTAACGCGCCAACCACTTCCATCTAAGATTTGCCCTACCTAGTCGATAAGGACAGGAGAAATCATAATAAAGGCAAAACTTCAATAAAATTATATTTTCTGAAGCAGATTTATATATAACAGCCGATCGATCGCGATAAAGGGCACATCTTCAATAAAATCAATAGCAGAGAACAGAAGCAGTAATCAATATATGATCGCGCCAACGGTTTCCATATATGATCTCTCTTTGTGGCAGTTAGTTTCTGTCCTTTTGTTAGCTAACATTTTCTTTATAGTATGCTTGTCTACCTAGCACTATTTGCGTTTTTGAGGTTGTTTTAGGACGACCGGTCTCTCCTAGCGTCTTCTCTTCTTTCGCACTACGGTGGTAGGAACGTTGGGGGAATAGTCGGTATTTATAAGAGCTGAGAGGCGGCGTGGAATCCACGCGTTTTTGGGAAAGTCGGTTTGGAAAGTCCCGTTAAAGTTTGTAAACTTCCAAATACCCATTTATCCTAAAAAAATTCAATGTATACTCCCTATAAATTACTATTTTAAATAATTTTACATTTTCACACAAAAATAATCCTATTTTTTTACTTTCACGGGAAATAATCTCACTTTTTCACATGTCTGCGAGTTTTAGGTCATTGTTAAGAAGCTAACGGCCAATTAACAAAATTTTTAGAATATGTATGTTTTTCACAAATAAATGAAACGTAGGATTACTTTAGACAATTTTTTTATTTTTTATTTTAAATTTATGTTTTTAAAATTATAGCCGTACACTCTTGTTAGAGCTTTGGCCCAATTTTTTTAAAAAGATAACGATTTACATATTTTAGATTCTCTTCTAGGGGAAATATAATACTTCCTCCATCCTAAAAGGTTTTTCCTAGTTATTATTCATATTTTTCTTAATTCTTTGATAAAATAATATAGTCTTGTCACCTCTTGTTTTTTAGAACTTTTGACGTGATTTTTAAATGTATAAAATTTAGTATTTTTTTTAATTTTACACCTACAATCAAATAAATTGAATTGAAATTAAAGTTGGTCAAACCTCGTAAATAGAAATGGAAAGAACGTTTTAGGATAAAGAGAGTATTGGATATTTTCACTGAGCCTTCAGCTGAGCTTGTAGTCGTCGTTGGATGAACAACCCGGAGGGCAGTGATGCGGCGTGGCGTGGATGGCTCAGAATTTATCTTATTAATTAAATTGTGTTATTTAATTTTTAAATAGAGAGAAATACCATAATAGCACTAATATAGCCTTATAATACTCAAAATAGCAGTGCTATAGGTTTTTGAGATGCATTCCTGGGTTTGTCTTAATTAAACATCCAAATTTGAATTATAAACAATCGGCAATTGGCGGCCCTCCGGGATTCTTGCGTACGGAAGATCTGATCTTCACACCATATTACCGAAAAACATCCCAAATATGTCCTTGAACGCAGAAGCAGCATCGGGAAGGAGACGCGCAAGGGTTTCGATGGCAAACGATGATGCCTTGGACAAGATTCCTCTTAGCAAAACATTGGAGAAGATACATGTATGCTTAGTTTAATTTAGCAGTGAAATCGTTTAATTTAGCAGTGGATTTGGCAATAGCTTTGTTTAATTTGGCAGTGGATTCGGCAATAGATTTTTTAAATTTTGCAGTGAATTCGTGAGTTTAGCAGTGAATTGAGTTTTTTTTTAATTTGGAAGTGAATTCGTGTGTTTGGCAGTGGATTGAATTCATGAGTTTGGCAGTGGAGAAGATTGGCAGTAGATTCGACAATAACTTCATTTAATTTCGCAGGTACCGTATCTCGCGTAGGAGGAGTCGGACGACAATAACGTGCGGTAAATGAACTCCTTGAATAACTTAATTTCAATGAAATACATAAAAAAAGACTAAATTATAATAAGAGGGTAAAGGGTATGATATGAACAGATTGACACCATAAATAACTAAGTTTGTAAAAAACAGTGAGTAGTACTAAATGCGTAATATTGGGTGAGTTAGAGTGCTACGTAGGGTGATTTCTTTTTTAAATATTTGGACTGTCGGAACTTTACCTTTGGTTTTAAGCTTCCACGAAGTTTTGGACTTATATTATTACTCCGATGAACTTTTGGATATATTTAAATTTTTATGGATGAATGTTTATTTAATTTTAAATGATTTTAAATAAATTGTGCATTCGAATACCAATTTAGTAACAACCCAGTCCACAAACTCATTGGTTTAGATTACGCGGGCTGGAGTGTTACATTCTTGTTATGCGTTCTGCAAAATCATTCTTTTCTCATACAATTTTCCTGTTCTTCATTCTTGTACTTGAGTTTTTTTGGAGAGAGATGGTAAAGGATGACATTTGTTAAGCATGCTCATAACTTTTTAGAGAGAAAGAAAAAAGAAATCTATCTGAATAGGAGTAAAAAATGAAAATATCAAAATAGGAATCCTAATTCTTTTTAAGCCAATAGGAGTATAATGTCAGTGTAGTGTAAGAGTAAACATTGGCTTTGTGATGGAAAAGTGATACAATGTAATATGTCAATATGATCAGTCAACCGTCGGTGATCCGCCGACGGCGATAGATGATAGTGTGGCGATGATAGTGTGACAGTTATAATGTGACAATGTGGTGAGTGTGGCAGTGTAACAATGACAGTGCAAACTTCGATTTTGGTCTTAAAAGTATTATGATTTATATTCTAGTACTTTATGATTTGTTTTACTCTTATCTAGTGAGTTCTCCCAAAAAAGGATAAGAGACAATGGTTGTTAGACACGCTCGTCAAGATCAATGGCAACTATTAAGCACACACACTATCTTTTTAGAAGAAAATCCTTGATCCGATACCATGATATAATTTGATGATAATTGGTCTTATTGAATAATGAAGGTTTCACCCTTATATATAAGGATTAATAGAAATAGTTCAAATTTTAGTTAAGAGAAGAATTATAGTAAAAATACCATAACGAAATAAGGAGTATTATAATATGATCGGTAATTAATAATAATATTTGTTTCCTAGTATCCTTATTATTCTTAATAGTACATAGAAATATCTTTTTAAATGCTTTCAAAGAAATTAAGAGCGAAACAGAAAAAAGAAAAAAATTACAATCTTTTTGTTATATCATACGAAATGGTTTTTTTGATCTTCAGTCAACAAGTTAACCACGTATTCTTTTATAAAATAAAAAGTCAACTAATTAATTTAATTATCTTAAAGTGATGAAAAACAAATGATTTATTTTGGATTGTTTTATTGCAAGAGAAATATTTTAGATTGTGTCTTTTCTCAACAAAGAAAAAGAGATAAATTAGTTTTTGGAAGCGATGAAAAAAAAAGGAAATTATTTTGGGATTATTAGCTAGACGAATCCAAAAACACCAACAAGCAGGAATCCACTCCTTCAAGGCTTCAACTTAATTAGCTTTCTCCTTCTCCTTTATCCGAGCTGAGGACGGGTTACTCTTAAAAGCGGCGTTAAAAAGCATAATTAAATTACACAAAAATATTCAAAATTACAAATGCTACAGAGATAAAATTAGAGAGTGAGAGAGTATATTAGATACAAAATGGATGGAAGGTAAGTTAATGGTTTGATTTCGCACTAAAATTATGTAAATTTTTTATTATTCAGTTTGATTTCAATTTTTTAAAATAAAAAAATTATAAGAATTAAAAAAGTTGTAACAGAGTAAATTAATTTTTTAACAGAGTAACTCTTTTTTTTTTAAAGGCTCAATCTTTCTTCAACTTTTTCAATAATGCAAAAATGTAACTATCTAATCGAGTAACTAAACGTTAAATGCAACAAAAAGTGACGTTTGAAAAATAATAAGTAGAATCCCACCCAATTTGTGGGATTGAATTGAGTTGTTGTAATGACAAATCAAGCTCGGCCTTCGTATCAAATATTTTAACAATTCAACTCTTAAAATGTAATAACAAAACATTTATGTTTTTCATTATCTTGACATTCTTGAGACAATTTAGTTATTCTATTCAACTCTCAGTTCATTTGGAATTTTTAAAAATAAATCACTAACAAAGTAAATTGTTGACCAAAATAAATTAAAGAGTAAATAATGCAGAGTATGTATAAGAATAAAAGATAGAGAAAAGAAATGTATCCTAAAAATATATGCTTCGATCTTAAGCGACTTAGTTTGGTTTATTTTCAAAGCCCAAAATCAAAACCAAAGCCAAACCAAAATGGTTCAGTTTTTTGTATTAGATTTCTCAGTTTATTTTTTTTTGGCAAAAGTCGATCACTTTCGATTCAGTTTCTAGTTTTCCGACTCACCCCTACATGCAAGTGCAAGGGCTCGGAAGCCAATTGATTGAGCAACTTAGAGTTTGTTATTTGACCTGATTTGATTAGTTCGAATCTGAATTTTTTAAGGTCCGATTTAATTTGATCTGATCTGATGTGATTGTAATTATAATTAAAATTATTTCTATCCTGAATTGATCTTACTAGGTCTTGTTTGATCTGATTCTAAGAAGAATAACTAAATAAGCAATAAGTTAGAAGAATAAGCTGAATAGGACGAGTTCGATGTCTATGGTTTACCCCCACGGCCTACCACGAGGGCTAGACGAGGCCAACCATTGACCAAATGTTCATCAATATGTTAGAAATTTAGAATAGAGTAAATTCCATAAAAGGTCCCCCGTTACTGATCGTTTTACATATTTAGTCCATACATATTAAATATTACTCCCTCCGTTCGGGAATGATGTTCCCATTGTACGTTTTTTTCCGTCCGGGAATGATATTCCCATTGTACGTTTTTTTGTCTATTCTTCCAAAATTACCCTCACCTTCCATCCTTTCTTCTTTTCTTCCTTTCTTTTTTTCCTTCCTGATGATACCTTGGACCAGAGACTGCATCAGGTGCAGCGACGCTCTAGGTTTGCCGAATTATGTCATCGACGCTGGAGCACAGTGTTCTTCTCCGCTCCTGAATGTTGTTCCCAGATCCGAACTAGGGGAGCTCAACCAGCCGATGCTCTCCAGGTCCAAACCCAATCAGTCCCAAGAGCTCCAGATCTGACACAAACAAAGCTCTTCCTCCCGTCGCCGACGCCCAACAGCAATTCGGTTGTTGCAGCTGCCCTGGAAGTTGACGGCAATCAACAGCGAGGGTGTCCCTGCGACCCGCGGGTTTTTGACGGCGGTCGATGGCGTGGGTCCGGGCGACTAGGTCAACTCGCCGGACGAGGTCATTAAC